CTCAGGTCTTCTGGTTCTGCTCTGCATCCCCAGAACCAGAACCAAACAAGGAGAAGCAGCATTCAGCTTGTGTGCTCCACAAATCTGGAAGAAACTTCTAGAAAACTGTAAAACAGCTGAAACACTGACTTCCTTTAAATCTCGACTAAAAACCCACCTGTTTGGAGTTGTATTTGAAACGTAATCAATTACGAAATTAATAATGGCACTTGACTTAAAGTAATGTTTTGATTGTTGATTCCATGTTGCATGACTTTGTGTTTTTTGGATGTAGAGCACTTTGAAATGCCTTGCTTCTGAAATGTGCTATACAAATAAAATTTGATCGATTGATTGACTGATTGATTTCTGACCATGTGTGAAACTTGTTCACCCATTTCTTGTTTTTAAAATCCCTCCAATTAAAAGTTGTGTATTTATTACAACTCAGTAAAAGAACAGTTTAAATGAAAAATCATACATGATAGTGATATTATTCTGTGTGATGAGTAAATTGTCTTTCTTTCTTGCAGAAACTTTGAATTATTTCTTCTCATACTGTAAAACAATGTAAGACTTCAGACTAAAAGAAATCCTGAGCTGCTCTGAAAGCAAAAGAAGCAACGTTTAAAGAGATTCACCTTCATTGTGTACAGGATATATCCGAGGAGGAATGGGAATTCTGGCTGGAGCTGGAGCTGTGAAAAGATAAATCAAAAGAGCATGCAGCATTACTGGAATAACTACTTGTATTTTAATTTCATTGCTTTGGAGACTTTCAAAGATTTGTGTAAATAAATAAATTAACACATAAAAAAATCCCTTTTACTCAACAGAGATATAAGCTGTTGGTTGCTGTTTATATGCATAGTAAGATCTCTAGTATTGGCCCAAATTAAAATAAGACATAACCCTAACCCTATTACTGCACACCTGTAGGATGGAGAATGGAGACGGCAGCGCCCTCTGCAGAGCCGAGAAGCGAATGCACGCTGATACGATACAGGGTTTCAGGTTCCAGGTGGTTGAAGCAGTAGCTGTTGGTGGACTCATCCACAGTTTCCTGTTTTATTTGCTTGTCTATAAATAAAGAGTGAGAACCAACAAAGATGTTTACTCCAGCCAATGTGTTTTCAGAAACATGTTGAGCACAAACTTCTAGATCACCTTTAACTGACTGCATGACAACACGGTACCCATCAACCGCCAACACGGGCCTCCAGGACAAACAGATACTGGAGTGGTCCGATCTGACGACGCTTATGCTGCTCACACGCAGACTGGCTGCAGGGATGGACACACAAATATGAGGGAAAAGAAACTAGATCACAGACGAAGTAGAAAACCCGATGAAACCTGTAAGAACCAGAAGGAACTGATAACAGGTTTCACATTTTTATTAGTTTTTTTTATTTATAAGTTCATGGAAACTAATGTCATTTTTTGTTAATATTCCCCATTTAAATAAGCCACATCTTGCATATATTAATCTTTGCAAAACTTGTTTGCAAAAAAATAATTGTTCTGTGTTCACTTTTGTGTTTGAAAAATATTTATATATTATTTTTAGCTTCCTGTTTAACAGAGTTTGTTTCTTTGTTTGCGGAACTGAACCTCTGCTGTGATCATAAACCTTTTGTTTTTGATCATTTTTGTGAAAAATTTGCAATAAACTCTCAATCATGCATTAATGTGAAAAAATGCAAACATTTGTTGATGTAAACCCACACCCTCTACTCTTGCTGGCCACTCACTAACACATTTCAGTGGAATCTTAAACATACTTCCAGTGTTATGAGAGTTATTCCCAAGAATATTTGTTACAACACAGAAATAACCATCTGCAAATGTTCTTACTTTTTAGGTGTTGTGTTTGAGGAATAGTGAACATGAGTGAACATGTTTTAGCCCCTTACCCTTTAAAAGTGGTGTTGTAATTTAGAGTTCCTCAAGCATTCTGAGGGTCTCATTTGTGTCAAAATACTAAACTGAGAAATATGGAGCAGTGACAAAATAAATAATAACAAGGGCAAAAACAAAATTTACTACAGCGGAGTATTAGTATCTTGAGTAGCGTGTTTAGGAAACAGGTGATTTGATTAGGCCCAAGTTCACATACCGGTTTTGCCTTGAGCTGAGCCGCTGCCTCCTTCTTTGTTGCGATACTCTGCAGTGACTAAGATGCTATAACGTGTATCTGGCTGCAATGACTCCAGCACCACCTGCTTATGACCACCAGGGACCAACACCTGCAGGCAACAACACAGTTTTTCAGACTGCCAACACAGGCAGGAGGATTTGGAGTTTCTCTCTGACCCACAGTGATTTGTGATTCTTTGGAACAAGGCCCAAAACAGCCAGAAGTAACGCTAAGAGCCCACTCACAGTTCCATCCTGGGTCTCAGCTCCGGTCAGTGGTGTGTAAGAAACCCGGTACTGGAGGACGTGAGCATTTGGAGGCACCCAGCTGACCAACATGCTAACTGCAGTTTCTTCTGACACAGATAGACTGGAGGGGCCTCCGCCTGACACTGCAGCAACAAACAACATGTTACACTTTTTTCAGATTCTGCCCAAAACAGAAAAAGAGAAAATCATTTTTACAAACAAGCTGAGTGGAAAACCTGAACATCCATATTTTGTTTGGTAGAAAATACCCCAAAACTTTGTTTTAACCTTCATGTCATTTGTATTTCTATTCTTCCTCACTTTTCTAAAGTTGATGGACTTTAGAAAAGTCCATCAATGTAAACAAACTATTTCTTATATAGTTGAAATGCATGCACTTATTTGTGCTCCTTATAAAAAGAGACATCCTAACAGATGTGGTTCTTCTTGTGCTAGATATTCTGAAAGCAATAATCTAATTTGAGCCTATAAATTCTGAAGTAGCACCCTGGTATTGGCACTCATTTGCGATTTCAAGATCCAAATTTTCTTTCAATCCCAATTTTAATACAAAAGCCAAATTCTGTTAATATCTCACAGTCATAACTGACTGTTAAAATCCAGAGTTTCAAACATCAAAAATTTTTGACATTTGAAACTCATACATGTTTAAGTTTTTTCTGGAAAATTTCTGAGATTATTGTAAAACATTTTTGAGTTTTTGGTGGAAATGTACTTTTTTTTGGAACTCATAGGTATATATTGAAAACCTTTAGAAAAGCTTGAGAAATAATAAAGACATTTAAAGGGAAGCAAACTGAATTATTGGGTGGTTTATAATTTTTGCACAGTAGAGTGTGTAGATAAATATTATGGACTTACAGGTACTGTATCGAATGGCCACAGCCTCACTCTGAGCTCCATCTCCATAAAGTGCAGACAGAGAGATCTGGTATTCTTTATCCTCCTCCACTCCCTCCAGGATCGCTCCTTCATTGTCTCCGTTCACCTTCAGCTAAAACACACATGAAACCAACCAACCAACCAACCAACCAACCAACCAACCAACCAACCAACCAACCATACATACATACATACATACATACATACATACATACATATATACATATATACATACATACATACATACATACATACATACATTCAGCTGAAACCCACATAAAAGCAACAATATAAAGACATTTTAGAAGACTGCCTCGCCTTTCCCTCCTCACCTGCCTCAGGTCTCCTTCACTTAAAGAGATCCATTTGATGAGGTAATAGACCACATCATCTGCTGCTGCCGCCCAGCGTACCGTAATTTCACTGCCCGAGAAATTAGTCACCTTGAGATCTGATGGAGAAGGCACCTTCACTGGCAGAGAGGAAAAAGGTGGTGAAAAAACCCTCAAAAAGAAGAATCAGAGACTGGATGTGTGTGTATGTTGACTTACGTGTTGTGACGTTACTGGTGAGTGTGGCAGACAGGCCTTGTGGGTAGTGGGACTGGACTGAAACCAGGTATCGGGACAGAGATGAAAGGCTTTGCAGCACCACAGAGTTCTGGCCTTTTACCTCCATCTGGGGGAAAAAAACTATTTCAAACATTTTCACATGCCGAGCTATCTATGAACTAGCATAAATGTGTATTATGCTATTATAAGGTGTCATAGACCCCTACTGAAACTCAGAAAAGGAAATATTTCAACACAAATGGAAAAAATGTCAATAATTTAACATTTCTAATGTTGAACTACAACAGAAGATTAGAGCAACTGTACCTGACATTCTATATCAAATTAATCAAATTGTCATTGATCAGTATCTCTTTCATGATGCTTGAAAAGGAATCAAAGTCGATCAGTGAAGATGTGACATTCCTTTTATCTGCTTAGATAATGATTTCCCACATGGAGATAGATGTACATGCAATTATTTGTACTGAAGTACCTTGAAAGTAATTTCCATAGTGCATGATGTTTGTTTTAACAAAAAACATTGTAAAAGCACAGAATCCTGTGGAACTTGCATCTTCCTTTCTTTTGTTTGGATCTCCATTAATTCTACTTCCACGCATCTACTCTTCCACAATGGTCCACAATTCAGAACTAAGAAACCTAAGAGTGATGCTCTCCATTAAATTGAGCCTTTAACAATGAAGCAACACACTGGTATTGCTGCTCATATGAAGTTTCCTGATCTACTTTTTTCCTTCTGTTTCATTAAAATATTAATCCTGTTCTTCTGATATCTCACAGCCTTATGTTTTCTTAGTATGAACAAAGAAAGTTGCTCAATGTAAAAACAATGTACATAGACATATATACAAGAAAACAGCATTCCTGATAATTCTTTAACTTTAAAATGTATTTATTGTGAGCAAAGTGGAACAGAAGACAAATTCCTTGTGGTGAATAAAGCTGATTACATTTCTGGATATCTAGACATAGAAACAGCTCTGCTGTGTGGCTAGTTGATGACATGAAGCAGAAGTAGGAATAACTGAAAAATAAATGAACACAATACAATTTTACCTGCTTAATGTCACTACCGTGATTGGTGCTGTAGGTGATTCTGTGGCCTGGGACATCCACAGCACCAGGGACCCAGCTCACCTTTATCATGCTGTGGGTTACAATCGGGAAGTGAATTCCAACTGGAGCTGGGAGGGGTACTTAAGGATCCGGAGGGATCCGGATTTAGGAAAAACAAGATGAAGTGAAAAAATGTTTCAGGTAAATAAGACAGAGAGATGGAAATGCTAATGAGAATGCTCAGGGATTCACTTACGTGTGCGGGAGACTGAAGTGACTGGATCACTGGGCTCTTCATCATAGAGAGCATAAAGAGTGACAGAGTAGTCTGTTTCTGGCTGCAAGCCTGCCAGCTCCACCACTGTCTGGCCTGCACTGAATTTCTCCTGTCCATAAATGATACAAAACATTAATTAGGGTTGGAGCCATGTTATCCTCTTCCAAAAAAAATCAGTTTATGATGTACTAATATATTAAATTTGACCCTGAATATGTTGCCTGCGATTATTCCTTTTAGTAGTTAGATACAGAAGCACCACATTTAGGGGAAAGGCTTGTAAATTTGCAAATGTTATTTATATCTTTAATGTTTGGTCAAATATTTCTTTGTGGTAAAAATTCTTCTTGGTAATAAATCTTATACCACTGGAAATTTGTTTATTTCCACTTAAATGGTGCCACATTTGGAAGGAAAGCATATTAAGTAAAATCTTCCCTGCCAATGCCAAACAGCTCATTCTTCTATTAGCTCTTGTTTTTTTTTGTCATTTATTGCAAATAGATAATTAAAGTTTGATTAAACCAGACCTATTGGTCGAACTGGGGAGATGGGAGGTTATGTGCTGCTTCATCAGCCTCTTCACATCATAGGAGCGAGTGCTACGGGTCGATAATCATTCAGACTGGTTACTGTGGACCTTTTTGGCAATAGTATGACAATGACCTACTTGAAACATTTTGGTACAATAGCCTGGTTTGGAGAGATGCTTTAAATGTCTGTCAGGACAGAGGCTAATTGGTCCTTGAGTATTTTCTCTAGGATGTTGTCTAATCCTATTCGTGTTCCTTTCTGTCTTGGTTCTGTAGCCATCGGCTCTTTAAAGTTGTAGGCCTGCTCATCCAGTCTTGGCACTGTTTTCAATGTTAGGTTGTTGTTCAGTACCGCAAACCTGCCCTGTCAAGGTCATTTAGGGAGTCAGTGTCATCCTTGCTGGAAGCTTGGTCCCCCTGCCCCCCATTGTTTGCAATCACCTGGATGCCGCCACACATTGCTCGTGGTGTTCAGGTTGTGGAAAAAAACTCTTGGATTTTGCTTTGGCTTCCTTATGCCATGACGTTGTCTGAAATTCCTTTTAACACACATGACAGATACTCATCCACATTGAAGCTCTGGTCATATGTAGCCGCTTCTCTGTCCATATCCCAGGTTGTGCATTCAAAACAATCTCATTGAGCCTCCCCAGCACCGTCAGCCCACACTCTCACCTGTTTCACAGAGGGCCTCTCTCTGATCACCATGACAATCAGAGGAGCCTAGATGGGGACATTGTACTGCTCGATAGGCCTTTCAGATCAAGAGCATTTGTTCCTCTGGTTTGAATGCACACGTTAATGGAAATATGGGAAGAGAGTTTTCATTTTAGTCTGATTAAAGACCGGCCACTATGAAAACCTCCTCAGGATGAGTGCTTTTTAGGTTGCTGATGGATTGGTAGAGAACATTTAGACCCTCTGTAGGGTTAGGCTCTGGAGGGGCAGGGGTGCTGTGGTGAACTCTTGATGCAAAAAAACATCACATCTATATGTGCCTGCAATAGTTCACCAGAAAAAAAAAGTTTTTTCAGATACTATTTTACCTTTAAAGATGCATTTTACTATGTAAAATCAACTTTTTAAAGCTTTAAATAATGTTTTAATGTTATTTCCTCATCAAAAACGTATTTGGAGTGTTGCCTTGATTCTTTTAATCATGTTTAAGAAATCCTTTAATTTTACGTGGCAACCACTTTGGGGGCCTAAACCCTTTTCTGGGACTTAACACTGCCTTCAAGATGTAAATCCTCCTTGGAGCTGCAACTCCTAAGCTTCCGTCTCAAAGAGACGTGCAACTCCCCCTCTCAGCTCCATCAGACTAGCCAGCAGCAATTAGCAAACACCTGGTGGAACTGTGCATCTGTGGAGCTCAGTACAGGAGCTACTTCTCAGTGCAACGCTGCTAAAAAAAATGTTGTTAAAGGGTTAATAAAGGAGCTATGTAGAGATGACTTCCTGAACGTGGAGTTTCAGAAAGAGCAGGAGTTTCTTAAGGAGACAGAGACCCAATTTCAAGGCATTAAATTACAAAGTCAAATTTCTTTTAATTATATTTGTTACATGCAGCATTTTTATAACACAATTGGGTAACTATTGTGGTAAATGTTCTTATTAATAATATTGAAACACTGAATTAATCAGAGAAATGTGCATTTGTCTTTTAGGTATTTATTTAGAAGACCAGAGTAAAAAGAAAAATATTGATTCTCAGAGATCAGTGAGAGAGAGTAGAAAGGAAAGAGGAAGAAGTGAAACTTAACACATAAAATTCTTCTTTTATATCTTTTCAGTCACGTACATGGTGCCTTATATCCAGCTCTCTCCTATAGAGAGTTTCTCTCAGTCTTTTCCATCTCCGGTTAATCTCTGTCCCTAAATCAAACCCTGTTCAAAGGAGTTTCGGTGGAAAGGAGAAGAAAAATGTCTCCTCTGACACTTCCGTTATGAGTTCTATAAGAAAAACACCTGCTTCATATCAGTTTGTTCTGATAAGCCAAAGTTTATTAGGTCTTAACACTATGTTACCTAATTGTGTTATAAAATGGCACTGTGTCTGGAAAATATATAAAAGTGTTCTTTGCAATATTGATTTTTTAATTTGATTATTTTTTTATTTTAATTTTTGATTTGAGTAAATTCTGATTTTAGATTTTCACTTCTTACCTCCTTTGCATCTTCAGGCTCTCCGTCGCTGAGTGCTGAGTATAGGATCATGTAATCAGTTGCACCAGGAGCTGGACTCCAACTTACTTGCAAAGTGCTGTAAGAGGAGGGAGTCACTTCCAAGTTGGATGGCATAACCAGAGGCACTGAAGAAGAAGCATTAAGAATGACAATGAGGAGAGGACATAAAACAATGTGGCATCCAATATAGTACTCCACTGGTTTATGTTTGTATGATTTGTGTTTGTGCTTTAAGCTGTGTGGATAATTTCGGTCTGCTTTAACTGTTTTGAACATGCTTAACAAAAAAATGGTTTCCATAGTTACCACACAGAGCCAGACAAAGACTGGGCAGAGAAAAAGAGGGCATAAAAAAAACATGTCCATTTTAAGTGGTCTCCTAATTTTTTCCAGATTTGTGCTACCAAATTCAAATCAGCCTCTTAAAACTATGAATCAGAAATATATATCCTACTCAAGATGTACAAAATGTAAAATAAAATCATATTTTGTGTTAGTTTATTTTTATCCTTGTGTTAATTATGATTATAAAACATTTAACCAGTTCAAACTTCCTTCTTTTCTGCACAAACTGAATAAGAAAAAGATTAATTAAATAAAATTTTTAAAGTTGGTTTTACTGTAGAATTATTTCATGGAGCCAATTAGAGCATTTAGTATTGTCTCCTTTTATTCCAATCCTTCTGTCCAGAAATGTTGGCGTTTTCAGTAAAGCAGCTGACATGCAGCAGCACTCTGATACAAATCAATGACAGAGGAGTTTCACAGAAAGATTTACTGAAACTTTCTAGTCTGGACCATACAATTTTGAGAATGTGATTCCTTTTTGTGCAGAAAGATTATATAATCTGCATCAAACAAGAACTCAAAGATATAAATGCTCTTCATTTCACATCCAAACACAGTAATCAATCAGCAAATTTCCTTTTTTTTTTGTTTTACATCTTTTAATGTACTTAAAGGCATTAGTATAAGAGTGTTCAAGCCTAGTCTTCCAGAGTTACAATCCTTCAACTTTCAGATGCATCCCTGTTCCAACACACTTGAATCAAATGAATGTTTTGTTACCAGGCCTATTGAAAGCTGAATAACATTTAGTGAGTCAATTGAGCCATTTGATTTAGGTCTGTTGGAGTAGGGATGCATCTAAAAGTTGAGAATGGTAGCTCTAAAGGAGTTAACGTCTTTTAGCAAAAGCATACTAAAAGCTCCAAATCCACTTGTAACTAGGAAACCTAAGAGTGATCCTCTCCATCTCAGCTAAATCGCGCCTTTAACAATGAAGCAACACACTGCTGTTGATGCTCATCTGATGTTTTCTGATCCACTTCTTTCCTGTTTGTTCAAAACAGTAACCCTGTTCCCAGCCTTGTGTTTCTTAAAACTAGCAAAGAATGTTGCTGAATGTAAAAACGATAGATACAATCTAAATTATTTCATAACAACAATATAACATGTTTATAACAACAATATAACATGTTTATATTTAAAAATATAAAAAGCATTTTGAATCTGTAGTATTGTTTGTTCAAATTATTAAGGCTGCAATCAATTGTTCTTCATTTTATACAATGAAGGACAATTCATTGTTTAAAATGTCCTTGAAATAAGAATTCATCTGTCAACTTCCCTTCACACAAACAGTGACTTATTGATGATGTCTAATACCAGATCTGTTTGTTTTTTGTCCTAATCTGAAGAGGAAGCCCTTTTCAATTCCCATAAAATACAATATTCATCAGCTATGTCATGCTCACATGTAGTGACAGTTCCTCTGAGGGCCAAGCCAACGCTGCTGGTGTACACAGGAAATATGGAGATGTGATAGAGAGTCTGAGAGGAGAGGCCATCGAGCAGAACAGTGGATTCAGAGCCAGATAAAACCACCTGCAGACACATTTTTACAGTCACATGAAGAAATGTGTAGATTGTTCTAGTTTTCTGTAGCTTAATAAAAACACAATCTACCTTACCTACACTGTATTCTTTTAATGGTGGCAACAATAGTCTAGCTATGGAAAAAATTAAGAGATCACGCACTGAGCTCCATTGAAAACCTCATAGTTATTCCACCAAATATTGATTTCTAAATTCTTCCTGAGTTAAAAAATTAGTATTGTTGTTTCTAAATGAATATGAACTTAGTTTCCTTGCATTATTTGAGATCTGAAAAAAAAAATGCAACTTTTTCATTATTTTGACCATTTCTCATTTTATGCAAATAAATGCAAAATTTTTGCTTGGAATTTCTTAGACATGTTATCAGTAGTTCATAGAATAAAATAACAATGTTTAATTTACTCAACTCTAACCCTATAAAATGTAAAATCAGAGAAACAGAGATCATTTTAAGTGGTCTCTTAATTTTTTCCAGAGTTGTATAAATATGCAGCTTCTCTGCTTCAGTTTAAACACTCCAGTGGTGCATTACTATCATTGTCACGTAACCAAGTAAACACCACATGGTTAACGCCCTCCTGAAACATACACAACAATAAGATGGAAAGAAATACCAGTTAATATTGGCCCACTTTTATCAGAAGGATACTGACCAAAGTGCCCAATATCGGCTGATATCAGTATTAAAGCCTGTATATCAGCATGCCTAGATGTAGGAGTGTAGTTCTAACCTCCTGTGGACTCTGACTCTCAGCACTGTGGTAAACCACTCTGTACTGCTGGACGGTCTGGACAGGATTGGTCCAGTGCAGCTTCACTTGTCTGGATCCAAGTTGGGAAAACCTCAGATCAGTAGGACTGGGAAAGGAGAGGCCTGGTTGTGTGGTGGGTGCAGGCTCCATTCCTAAAAATACAACAAATCACACCTTAAGATGACATATTTTTCATTTCAGGTGACTGTACAATCACTTTGAGCCCACAGACAAAGTATCTGTGCGTAGGTAGACAGAAGTGTAGGGTACGTTTTGAGATGCCACGGTCCTCTATCCTCCTGCACAGAATGTGAACCAGCCGAGCGACCAGCTTGCTGAGCAGGGGGAAATCATTTACGTTGTAGACGTTCAGATCAACTGGCTCTGATGCCACCTGCCTCAATTCAGCTTCGTCAGCATTTTTCACACCTAAAAACACAAACTTATAAAATTTATCAACCTCATTGGCAGAAGAAAAGGTGTCCTAGCAGAGTTAAAATTAGAGTTCATAAGACTAATTTTACAGTTTGAAAAAAAAAACAAATGATTGTAAATTAAACACAGGGGATAATCTCATTAAATAAGAGCTTACAGTGTATCTGGAATGAAAACACTGCATTAAAAGCTAAAATTTGCCTTCTACATTCTACACACTCTACCATAGATTGCATACATAAGCTCTGGTTGACCTCTTGGATGGTTTTCCAATCTCTGCAAGAGAACAACTGAGCTCTAATAACTATTTTAATTTGTAAATAATGAATACCATGGGGCTTTTTGGGACATTTGCTGTTCCCAAAAAGCCCTGTGGTATTGTTAAGAACATTTGTGATTTGATACAATGCAGTCTAAGGGGTCTATAGACAACTCCTCCTCTTTTACCTTAACTGCTTGGTTTCTGCAATGAAAACTGTAAGATCTTATGTAATTCAGTACAAGTGGATTCCAGTCAAGTTGCAGAAACATCTGAGGGATAATCAGTGGTAACATGATGCAGCTGAGTATCCTTTGCTAGTGTGAATACTTATGTAGATGGGATTTTCTTTGTTGTTGTTTTTTTTTATTATTAAACAAATGTGCAACTTTTTATACTTTGTCATTCTGGGATATTACAAATAACAACATACTGTAAATAAGGTAGAAAAAATGACACAAGATGCATGCTGTCAGGATAAACTCAAAACTCAAAGCAATGTTTTTCACTCTCACCTACAGCGATGATTTCCACGCCTGCATTCTTCAGCCGGTTAGCTGCTGCAATGGCATCATCCTGAGACTTCCCATCAGTCAACAGAACCAGGAAAAATGGTGCACTGGCTCGCGCTCCTGCCTTAGGCTTCATGTTTTCCTCCATGACGTGGAGCAGTGCCTGTCCTAGGAGAAAACTGCCTGGTTACACACTGGCAGACATGAAAAGAGTTGAAGCTGAATTTCCCTACCTGTAAATGTGTTTCCTCCTTTGTATCTGAAATTCCTCACTGCCTCCAACAGCTGCTCTTTCGTGGTGAAGTTACCGAGGTGCCACTCAGTGCGAGGGTCTCCGCTGTACTGGGTCAGCCCTGCAGCACACAGTACACTAATACTTGCCCGATTTTTCTCTCCTTTAGAGGGTCTAGCTTCAGATAGAGAACCAGTTCATTCCTGCTGGTGGCCTGGTCCTCACCGATTTGAATGTGGTTTGGTCCAATGTTGAAAGGCGTCACCAGACCCTCCAGAAAGTCTCTGACCCGCCTGAAGTTGGTGCGTCCGATGCTCCAGGAGCCGTCAACCAACAGCATGATGTCTGCTGCCGCGTCACTCTCACACTCATATGGCTTCCTCTGGGGAAAGCCTAAACTCCAAGACACAAAGATAGATTTGCCGGGGTTCGAATCCAGGCTGGGGCAA